CTTCGTAATCAGTAATTTGGCTTCCATTGTTTTGAAGAAGCGATTCAGCTATTGCTTGCTCTTCTTCAAGTTGAACCTACACAAAATTTGGTAAGGAGAGCTATCAAAACAAGAAATCCATATGCGCACCTTCAGATCTTCATCAGGATTCGAAGCAGCTGAATTGAATGCAGACAATTGTTTCTCAGCTTCATTTATTTGTTCCTCAACTTGTGGTATAGTCTTCTCGGCTTCTTCCTGTCTTTCTTCGAGGCTTTGAATAAGCTAAAATAACTTAAGAGGCTGATTTACAAAGGGAGGGCAGGGATAGGAGAGCGGAGGAGAAATGCATAACTTACGGGTTTCAGTTCTTCAAATTCTTCGTTCAGGTGTGCACGACGACTTTCATACTCAGCTTTTTTGCTGTCGAACGTCTCTTCTTCACCCTAAGTTGCATCCAATACGTAGATTAAATACTTAGAGAAAAAAGTAAAAAATTGTCTTACATTGAAAACTTCCTGCAAGTCACTTCTCCTCTTCTTCAGTTCTGTGACAGTATCTCTACGTTGATCTAGGTCTTGCACCAGATCTGTCACAATACTTCTCAACTCTTCGACATCGGTTGTCTCCGGTAATGCTATTTTTGCGTGAGATGATGGTAGGGCTGATGGTACGGTTATGGGCTCGACTCCAAAACTTTCCTAAAACGTAAAACGGACTTGGACAAGCTCTGTGGTTCTTTGGAATTACTAACGATTTTCTGCTCCAGCTGCTCGACATTCTTCGGCAAGAGATTCATTGTCCTTAGCAATACTTCTCGTTCTGTCAAAAGCTCTTCGATTTGCATTTTCTTCTTCTTGTAGACTACTTTCTTGTCTCTTATTCGGCCAACGTAAGTTTTGAACTGAAACACTCGGAATTGGAGAAGAAAGTATAATTTCCATCTATGATACGCATTCAGAGTTATAAGTGCCAACGACGTGCCACTGCCGTTCCAGCGTCGTGCCACTCCAATATGTAGAAACTATGCAGGTCGACCAATAGGATTTGATTGGGATCACCTAGATACTGCCTAGGGTCCGGCATGGTGCTTGCACAGTGCTGGAAAGACGCTGGAACGGCGATTGCACGGAGCTAACACGGAGCTGACACGGAGCTGACAGGAGCTGGCACGACGCTGGCACACAGGCAATTCTGAATTAAGCCTGCTTAGGCGTGCATCGTACCTGATGTGCACTCATAACTTCTGCACCTGTTGTGCTACGTAGAACATCTTTTCTCTGGTCCACTTGTTGCTGTAAACGTCCTAATTCGTGCCTGAGCAAGAAATTATATATGAATGGGGTAAAAACTCAAGAAAAAAGAGAATGCTTGCTTTCCACTGACCGAGCTTCTTGTACCTTCTCAGCAACAGCATCCTTCCTTCTTTCTACGCCTAGAGCTTGATGACGAAAGATGCTAAACATGTTTGATAAATAAAATAATGATCAATTTGTATCATTGAAGTACCTTTTGTAAACCTGTTAGACCTCCTCACAACTTTTCGATAAGGAAATCTCAAGATCTTTCGCTTTTAGGACGAAACATCTCTACATTTTGCACATCGAATTGGGAGACTTTCAATTTCTTGGACTCAAAAGCTAAAGTCGATATTTTTGAGGGGGTAAAGCGTTTAGAAGGAGGATGTTAACTTTGTCTGTACCATGAAGTGAGCTGAGTTTTATAATTATGAATGTGGGAGAAACCCAGATTGCTAAGGGAAGGGGGAAGAGTTTGCCATTTTATGTCCAAGCAAGGTTGGCAGGAATTTTCAAGACGGAAATTCGATTACGAATTGAACATTTCCAAACTGATTGTGGGCTTCACATAGGTTAAACATCTTGTAGAATTCACTGGCTTCATCGAATGAAATGATAAAACAGAATTGGTGATTCTTTCTACCAAAGACAAGAGAATCTTCACTGTTTAGGCCTAGTTTAGAAGCTGAAGTTGATTTTGTTCAACTTGAAAATTCATGAGGCAAACAATTTTCTGTAGAAATCTTCGTTTTGAATAACTTCAGAAAATCTAACGACTCGCCTGAAATTTTCATCCGTACTTTCCTCATCTTTGTCTCTCTCCTTTTCAAGTTCCATAATCTCGTTTGTTTTTGCTTCCAACTGCAAAAGACAATTAATTTTCGTGAGCTTTCACCATAGATTTTTCCAACATGCTCTCAAACATTTTTGAAATTTTGTAAACGAACCTCTGCTTGTAATCTGTTGATGTCAGCTTGCTCAATCGCTGGCATATTCGACACTCTGGCAAGCTCGTTGAGCACTTGGCGTTTTTGTTCACGTTCTGCACTAAGCTTCACTTCTAGCAGATAGGTATTTGTTGCTATATCATCCTTGAAAAAGTAGTATAATTTGAGAATTTGGATTTCCCACAGGAAAAGAATACCTCCAGCTGGGCGATGAGATTTGTCGGATCAAGATTTTCAGATATTGAACGCAGCTCAGCCAACTGATCTTTCAGCCGTTGTATTTTCTTTTCAGTGCTGATCATCTAAATCTTAGATACTGGGTATTAATCTATATATATATAAAGCTCAAAGTTTGTGCAACTCT